AGGCTTCGTGGCCACAGCAGGGCATAGCACCCAGGCCTGCAGTCACCCCCCTCCCCACCCACCGCCCCAAGACAGACAAAGTTGCACAAGAACCTGAGTTTTGCCTGCCAGCAGCCAGAGATGCAGGGCCCCAGAACCCAGAGTCCCTCTGCACCTATCTCATTGAGATCTGGCAGGCTTTGTTGCCACAGTAGGGCCTAGAAGACCTGCAGCTTTCACTCTACTGCACCTTACCACAAACAGTGTCACCCATGTCACGAAGTTTGCTTGTCTGCAGCTTGAGGTGCAGTTTCCCTGAACCCCCTGCACCTCTCCTTGAAACCCCCTGCAACTCTCCTTGAAACCTGGAAGGCTTTGTGGCCTCAGCAGGCGTAGCAGGCTTGCAGTTTTGACCCCACTGTGGCTTAACACATACAAGTGACAGGAGTTTTGCTCTCAAGGCTTTGGGGTGCAATTTCTTCAAATCCTCTGCACCTATCTCCTTGAAACATGGCAGACTTCATGTCCTCAGAAAGGGCTATCATTCCTGCAAATGTCATGGAAATCAGGCCAGAAATGGCAAAGTTATTGCCTGTTTTGACCTTGTCCATTATATCCTATGTACGAAATGTCAAAACAGGCTTGACCCAGAAACTGTTTCGACGGCACAATACAGAACAGCCATCTTGACTCAAAATAAAAGTCAAAATGGAATGCTTACATTTTGCACAGCCCTAGTGTCATATCCCTAAAAAGTTTTCAGCTTACTTTCTATGGGCTTTTCTATAAAGGTATCTGGACACAAAGCTCAATGAAATAATGTGTGCTGAAACACACTTAAATGTAGCTATCCATACAATTTAAGTTTATTTCCTGATGATCTGTGTGTTTGACTTGAGGTACCCAGTATTTGATCTCCAGCAGGTAGTTCCGCTTTGTCATTTGGACGTAACATGTATATTCATCTAGACAAGTAAAATTGGGCTTTATCTGAATATAGGCAGAGGGGCAGAACCTTCTCTCCGTGTAGCTGTATTTGGTATTCAAGAGTGGTAGCTGTACTCCTGAACCTTGTTAGAGGAAGAGGCAAGCTGTGATAAGACCTCAGATGTGAATTATGGATCTCTCCCTAAGCTTATTAAAGTGATATCTGTTCTTGTTTGTCATCTGATGCTATTTTGTTGCTATCTGTCAGAAGGTTTTTTTGAGTTGTGAATGAGCAATCAGATAGATCACAGTTTATCGTTCTGTATGGACATCAGCCATTAGTCATAAAATCAACCAACATATCCACCAAAATCACCCTGCTGCCTTAAAGGAATAAACAAAATTATTGACACAGTGTTTACAAGCAGCAAGAGACAGATTTTAAAGGCACCCTCCTAGACTTTATCTAGACTGCTGCAGTAATATTTTTATGTCAAAACAATTATTCTCATGCCTTCAGCACATTTCAATTAATCAAGCCTACCCCAGTTATAATACTATAATGCTTCAGCTATGTAAATTTTATGAGTCATATGCAGAGCCATTATTATATATGTGCCCTATAAGAAACAATACATGGTGCTTATTTTTCTATGGGTGCCTAATAGGCTGTGCAAAACAGCACCATTTTGTTTCCACTTCCATTTCACTATTTTGTCAGGACAGTGTTTTGTATTGTTTTGTTTTATTTCAAAAGCACTGTTCTGGTTAGTTTTGTCAAAACTGCTCTGCTGTTTCAACACTTTTCAACATTTCGCCCATAGGCTATAATGGGGAAGCATGACACTGCCTATACCTTTGTCATTTCTTGCCTGATTCAGATGGAACTTACAAGGATATTAGCTCCTACTGAGTACATGAAGTTTGCCAAGTTGCAAGGAGATAGATGCAGGAGTTTCTGGGAAACTTCATCTCAAGCTGCTAACAAGCAAAACTTGTGACATGAGACTTTGTGTGTGTGTTAAGGTGCAGTGAGGTGAAAACTGCAGAGATGTTAGCCCGTGATGAGGCCATGAAGACTGACAAGCTGCAAAGAGATAGGTGCAGGGGTTTCGGCATGGGTGACTGGTGTTTCCTGAGTAGGGGTGGGGGCAGTGGGGGTGGGGGTGGGTCTGCCAGCGGCTTATCACCAACCCAGGGGCAAAACCAGAAGTGCATTTTGGCTGGTGCTTCCAGGGGGTGAACAGTTGATGTCTGGGGGTTCAAATTCACCCACTTGCACTCCCTACGCATCGCCAATGGGTTTCTGGGAAATTGCACTTCAAACTGTTCAGAGCTAAACTTGTGTCACTTGTAAGTGTAAAAGCACAGAAAAAGCTTAGTTCAAACAACGCTTTTTTGCTGTTTTTCCATCCCTCTCCTATAGCATTGGGATTGGAAGGGACTCCAGGGAAGAATCACAGTCACTGGACAGCTACATATGTCAATATCAGAGCAGTCCTTCCTCCCTATTTCTCCTCCCTCTCCTGAGTTTTTCTTTAGCTGCAAGCAAGCCCAGCTTCAAAACTCAAAACTTTTTTAAACGTTCAAAATGTTTTGACTTCCCTTGTTTCATTTTGAGGCTGTTTGAAAGCCTTTACTTTTGTTTTGATTTCACTGTTTCAAGCTCAAAATGAGTTAAAACAGTGTTGAAACAAAACAGCCAATGAAATTTTTCACAGCCCTAATGCCTAAGCACCACTTACTCAGTTGCCCTGGCATCAGTTGGGAGCAGCATCAATGCAACTCTTGCAAAGGCATCCTCTGTCCTTCTGTTAAAGTGTGCTTATCCACTTAAGGATGCCTCTCCTCTGATGCACACACCAACAGTAGCAGTTGTAAGCCACCCCCTGAAGCTAACTTTACTTAAATCTGTTTGGACACATAGCTTCTTTGGTCAATACAGAAAGTCTGTGTGCCTGCACACCAGCTCCATTGCCCAGTGCACCAATAGTAGTTGCTTTGCTGCAGCTGGACTATGGTAATGTTCCTGATGTTAGAAACTTCTCTTAGGATGCTCACAGGCAGGGTAAAAGGAAAAGTGCATTACCATTTTAATTGTATTACCACTGTGTGAAGTATTCTATGTGGGATGATGGTAACTATGGCTGTGCAAAGCTTTGATAACTGATTCGGTTCAGTGGAGATTCAGTCTGATTCAGTGACTGAATATCCAAATCCAAATAGAACCAGAGGACCCTTTAATCTCTCTGAATCAAACTGGAATCCTCCAAATTGATTCAGACAGATTTAGAAATATTCAGTGACTTGGACATAGAGACAGCTTTAAATGTTTTTTCTACATACCTTTAGGTGGCAGGGGCTCATGAATACTGCAATGCTGGGGCACATGGAGTGTCCCACAGAAGCATGGGGGATCCCCAGCATGCTCAGCAGCAGACCTGGAAGTGGACCAGAAACACTTCTAGTCCACTCACTTCTGGATCCACTGGGGAGCACACAGCCCCTGCACCCTCCCGGCTCAGCAACTGGTGCCTCCTGGGTCTGGGGGGAGCATTGTGGAATATTCTTTCCACTCCTGGGACTATGGGTGATGGGTTGACCAAAACAAATATAATAAACCAGTCCAAAGGGAATGCAAATAAGGGCAACTTACTCAATAGCAAATAATAATCAGAGATGATAATAGGGAGAGGTGTGACATTGGCAGAGAATTGGAACAATGACCAATTAAACCGTAATGACAGATTATCTCATGAATTAATTTATCAGAGTTTACTGTACATAGAATTATGGAAATGAAAGGCTGGGAATGACCTCAGAGAGATTCTGCATTTCAAACTCTGTATTAAGAAACCTAAAAAACACCCTTTAGCTTGTAGGTACATTTTGTCAATTACAAAGCTTTTCTATTTCTTAAAAGCCACACACTAAACGTTGCGAGATGACTGAGAACATGTAGAATTGAGGGCAAGAAAGATGTATAATGTCAAATAATATCATCACCCTGAACCATCTCTGCTATCTCAGTTTTATTCCTAAATATAGATTTTTATTAGATAGAGAACATACAGTATAGCTCACATAAAACTTGCATAACTTACAAACAAGGATGCAGTACCTGCTGCTTCACATACACTGAAGGTCAGCTTGAATTGAGGTAAAGCAGTTAGACTTTACCTCACAAACAATAAATAGGGTATTTATTGAGATAGTAATACTAAGTATCTACACACTGACATACCAACTCTAGTTAAACTGAAGTTGAGGTTTGTGTGTTGCCCTGCTCAAGATTTTATTACAAGTGTCATGTTAATTTGTATATTTTTAGAGCCCTAGTTCTATGAGTTATGCAAATTAATTAAAATCTCAGCTTTATCAAAAACTAGGTACACACAACTATTCCAGACTCAGAGTTGCAAAGAGAAGCATGAAAATGTGACTGCAGTGAATCCTTGAGGCTTTGAAACCAGAAGACTAAAAAGGTGCAGTTATTTAAAACAAACAAATAACCCATGAGTTTAAGTTCATAACACTAAAAACCCCCCGAAACAAATGCCGTATTAGCAAAGATTGAGAATAAACATCACTAATTTAAAGTTATACAAGCTTTTAAACACATTGGCTGCATTCAGATGAGTATGGCCGTGTGGTATGTTCCACAACAGACATATCTGCAGCGCCACATGCTGCATATTCAGGGGTGCTCAAAACCAGAGCTTGGCCAGCTGAAGCCATGCTCCGGTTGCCACCCAGGCTCCAGGCAGCAGAAGCACCACTGCTGCAGCCCTGGGAGGTCCCCAGAACTCCAGTTAAAGCTGCTGGGGCCAGCCCAGTGCTGGCCCCAGCCTCCCCTGCCCCACCTGGGGTAACGTGCCACAGACTAGAGGGTATGTGGCACAAGCACTCCCCAGGGACAACTAGCAGTGGCACATGGTGGTATTATGCCTATAGAAAACCCCAGAGCAGGAAATTCAGAATTAAAATTAATGAGTTTAAATAAACCCAGACATTTGAAAGTATCATGGAAAATAGCTATGGAGATCAGAAAGTGCTGGGCAGCTGGGACTGAATATCCCCTGGCACTGGACTAATGAGCTCTTTTTTGGTTGATTCAACAGGTTTAATATTTTACAATTATGATAGAAAGCTCATAAAGGCCTCCAGATACAAAACATAGCTACCAAATGGAATCAAGTGTCTTCCGAAAGACCCAGACTTATTATACAAGGAGGCATCCTGCACTGGCTAGATAAAACTAGGAGAAGGGAAATATTTAACAAAGAATTTGCAAATCACTAAGGTCTGCAGAACTCTACTCATCAGCATTTTCCATCAGTTTAGGGAAATCTCTCCTTGAAATAAAATAATGAGGAGACCTGAATGGTCATTCTTTATTATGTATGTTTAAGGAAAAGTGTAGCAGCCCATGGTTTGCTGCTGGGTATGGAATATCATTTGGGATGTGTTTTGCAGTAGTCCTATAGTATTTCCCATTTCTTTCAGTTTTCCAGATTTTACCATCTTTAATAAACTCTTCCTATATCAAGAATTTGTGTGTGAACAAACTAACTCAAGTCTTCCTTGCTAATGATGTTCAGCACTACTTCCTCATTTATATATACATTGCTAAGACTTAGTATGGTGTGTGCTGAACTTGGCTATTTGGTTTTTCACAGTCTTTGCCTGGAATCACTCAATAATACATGAGGAGTTTCATGTCTGTCACCAGAGACTGTATCTACTAGAACTAGTAGGAAAATGATGACTTTTGGGGTGAAAAAATACAGTTTTTAATTAAAATGACTGCAATTTTCCAAGGGACCCCTGCTATTCTATTTCAATTCTTTCAGTATCTTAAAATTTGCAATTCAGAATTCAGATATATCTGTACAAACAGTTCATAAGCAAAGCTCTCTAAGAACCTTATGAGTGCTCTTTAAATTGCCCCAAACCTCTCACCTCATAGCCTGAGGCTGTAAAATGAAAGCAGAGAGAGAGAGAGAGAGAGAGAGTTATCTTTCTATTTCAGTATCTCTCTCATTACAATAAGTCTTTTGGTTATAATAATGAAGTAATAAGCAATCTTTAACAACATATATTCAATCTTGATGACTATACAGATTAGGAATATTAAATGAATGTAAATTAAAAATCGCTTATTGTAATAGTTTAGCATTTAGTGGTGCTAATTGTGTGTATCACTCTTGGGAAATGAATAAAGGTGGAACAAAGCATTTATTTGGAAAAACGAGTTATTTGCACAGTAGAATGAACCAATGCCCTATCTTGTTTGGTAATTATATAATATTGCTCAAAGCCTGAAGTTGAGAGAGAAGGCAATACTTTCACACTTTTTAGTTAAGATGTAGAATGGGAAGGAAGGTGGAAAAGGACAGATATGAAGTTATCCCAGGTAAACTAACTTAGTACATGGGGCTCATCTAATGATATTCAGGGATAAGATAAAAATAATTATATGAATCAGTTTAAATTTTTAGGACAGGCTACTCTTTGGTCATTATTTACCTTGTATTAAGAAATACTGTGTGGAAAGACCAATCAAGGGGCTTCCAAAGTATAATTATTTAGCAGAAGCAATAGGAAAATAACAATAGTCTCCATGGTCTACTTCCTCATTTCTCTAACTTCATAAGGGTCAACCCTTAATTAATGCCAATACAATCAACCAAAAATAAGGCAGACAAAACTGAATGCAGCTATATTGTTTAGCTGTGCAATGGCATGTGTGTTCAATTCTAAAAGGAAAAATAAACATTTGGACAAAATTCAATGATCAGAAGAGCAAGAAAACTAGGAATACAGAACTTGGAGCAACAGCCTCAAACTGCAGCAGAGGAAATTAGATTGGAGATTAACCTTCTGATTATGAGACTGGTCAAGCATTGGAACAGACTACTGTGGAAGTTGTAGAATTTGTCTCTCTGAAAATGTTCAAAAGCGTGTTAGGCAGACGCTTGGCTAGAATGGTTTAGTCAGGGATGTCTTGATCAGGGGACTGGACTAAATGACCTCATGGGGCACATGCACATGAGCGCTCACGTGCCTTTTGCAATGTCTCAATCTCCTTTGAGGTGCTGCAAGACATATGTGGGAGAACAAAAAAAAAAAAGTTCCCCACACTGCATATTTGCAGTGTGGTGGAAAAATTTGGCACATGGATACTCTGGTATCTAAAAAAAATGCGCCATGAAACAGCAGGGCAAGGCACGGTTCAAGATTGTATCTGGGGGCAAACTAGAGGAGTCCTCCAGAGAGATGCTTTGGTACCGGGCCAGAACGTCTCTATGGCTCCCCCTTGCACTGTCAACCGAGCATGGCTCTCGAGCGTGCTCAAGAATAAAAGCAGGGCAAGGCTTGGAGCTGGCTGTGGGTAGTTGGAGCTAATAGGACCATCTAGAAGAGTACCAGAGAAGCATCAGAGTCTGGAGGAATGGAGGCTGAAGCCATGGGTGATTAAGGGAAGAAGGGGGTGGGGGTGGGGAGAAATGGGAACTTTCCTGCAAAAAGGGGAACCCAGGCTCCCCTGTCTATAAGCAGCATTTTGCAGACTGCCAGTTCCAGCCTACAAGAGCCACTTGGAAATCAGGGAGAAGGTAAGGGGCAGAAGCCAGAGAGCCCACCCAGTCCGAAGGCTTGTGTGGGCCCCAGGGTGGGAGACTGTGTGGGATAGGCCAGCTGCAGGCAGAGTTACCCGATGGCTCCTGCCACCTCTTGTGCTTCACATTTGCACATGGTGCAGGCCAGCGGTGCCCAAGTGCGCTGTGTATGGGATCCAGAGGGGGGTTCTGGGGTGTGTGCTGGAGGGGTCCCCCACACTCTCACCCCCACCTCTGCTGCATGGATCCCTGAACAGCAAGTTGTGGGCCTACATGTAGTGCAGGGCACCAACCTGGCCTGATGTCACACACCCCACCTCGGGCAGGACCATACTGGTTCTTGTCACCACCCAGGGCTGCATGTGGCATCAAGAAGCAGGCTGGTGCTACCTGAGGTGAGCACACATGGCATCGGGCTGGGTCAGCACCCTGTACCACGTACAGCAGGGAAACAGAAGTGGCAGTGGGAGCCACTGGGTCACCCTGTCTGCAAGAGGCAGCAAGCTCATGGACAGTCCTGCAGCTGCCTTTTGCAGACAGCTGTGGGGCTCCATGCATCAGAGATATGGTTGGGAGTATGCCCCCCTCTCAACATGCACTCAAGCCTGCTCTGGACCCACCATGTTGTGCAGCTGGGCTCTGCTGGCATGTGCCAAGTGCAATGGGGAAACACAAGCGGCAGCAAGAGCCACTGGGCGACTCTGACTGCAGCAGGCAGCAAGTGGGGAGAGGGCCCCGCAGTTGCCTGATGCTGGCAGCTGTGCGGGTTGCAGGGAGGGAGCAGGGTTGTGCATGTGGTGGTGCCTTCCCCACATAAATCTTCCCTTATGCCATTAGAGCATTGCCTGGATGTCCCTCTCTTTTCTTTTCTCTCTCTCCCTCTCTGTCTTTTTTCTTTCTTTTCTCTATCTCTCTTCCTCTATTTCTTCTTTCTCTCTCCCCCTCTCTCTTTCCCACCTCTCTCTTGTCTCTCTCTCTCTTCTAGGTACTTGTATGTGTATATAGCAGTGTTCCAGTTTACTTGTGGAAGGTCACAGGTATTTTAGGTTCTGTTTTTAATGTGTGCATTTGGGATTTTTTTCAATCTGAGATGTTGAAATTTGTAAACAGGGAACATCAGGATCCCTGCCAGTGAGACAACTGGTGGTACCTTGGCACAGGCACATGGCCAGGGCCAGCACCGGAGACCCAGGTGGAGGGCAGATGAGATGGTTGTTCATTTGGGGACAGGAGGACACACTTCAGCAGTTCAGAGTGGGTCACCATAATGAACACATCTACTGGGCAATAGGTGGCCAAATGATAGATCAGGGGCACTGGAAGACATGGCAGCAGTACCGGACAAAGG